ATTCGTGCGTCGGCAGCAAATGCGGCCAAGCTTTCCCTTACACCCTGAGGCAACGGCACTGACAACCGCCGACACGAAGAGGGCCAGGTTCTTCAAGAGAAAGAAGCTGACATACCACACCACCTTGAAAATCACACTGCCCACATTGTGCCTGTTTCCCTCTGTTTGTTCCTGGCCTGCTTTGGTGAAGTGGTCCAGTTGGCGCAGGGGATGCACCACAGAATGTCTGCATCTGCACGTGCGTGGCCTTCAGTGCAGCTCGTGCACCTCGGCGCCGTTCTCAGAGTCTTAAAGGAACCCCGCCGTCCCGCTCCCGCCCTCGGTGACCACGCTCGCTTTCTTTCAAGTCTCTCCCTCCTCCCTCCTCCTTCCTCCCTCCTCCACCTGACTATTCAAGCCTTTTTCCGTCCCTTCCCTCCCCTCCCCTATCCTCGGTATTATCGGCCCGGGCGAAGATCATTTCATTCCTTCCTATATACGTTGTCATTTTGTACGGGCAAAAGGGACCGTCTCTTTCTCCGCCCCCCTCTCTCCGTCTCCGCCCGCAAATTTGCACCCAAGGGTCCCGGGGCCAGCATAGCCCTCTTCGCACATGGGAACCAGCTCCTGCAATGCAAAGCATCCGGCTGCCTGAAGCTGCATGCCCTGCCCAAGGCAAGGCAATCTAAGTTACTAGTCCCGCGTCTCCAGGCCTAAAGTCTCGGAATCCCCAAGAGACCCGCATGGCCCGGCAAGCGCCTGAGATCCTTCCACCTATAAGCCTCCGCTCCCCTCCTGCGCGCGCTCGCCAGGGACGCTGCTGGCATTGAAGTGGCCCCCGCGGCAGGCCTCAGTTCGTCGCGGCTCTTGGCAACACTACCTCGCAGGCATAGCAAAAACTTCACGGTCATCTGACATACAAGCTCAAGTGCAAGAGGCCATCTCATTGGGGCACCGATACCAAGCGGAGAGATCGCCGGCCACGTCGCGATCGAAGTCCACCTCTGCGAGAGCTGGTGCATCGCACCAAACAGCGGCTGAGCGGATGGATCTGAGCTACAACCCAAGGCCCGGACCATGTAGCCGGGTGGCACACGCAGCTCCGTGGATGTGCAGCCGATGGTGAGACTCCCCATGTGGGGGCACGGAGCGCAGCTTGCATTCTGGTCCTGCTGTCACTACACTGCATGCAAGCTTAGAAGAGGCAACCCGTGCAGTGAGAAGCGAAAAGGAAAACTCCCACAGTAACCAGTGTTCACCTACTCAAGGCTGTGCTGATTCTGCTAAGCGGGGGGACACGAGCAAAGCAAGAAAGTAGCATAACACACGTGCGAAACGCGCGGCGGCTGTCCGACACCAGAAACCTTGCGAAGTCGAAACCCAGGCTTCCGTTATCTTCCGTACAGCCGTGTCCCATGCTCGGTTTTGACTACACCATTAACCTACTTCTTGTTGTAGGCTTTCATATCATGAAGCCCAACATGGGAATCATAGAGCCCCTACAGAAAAGTATGGTTGTTGTAGGTTCAGGTACTGCCCATGTGAGTTGATAGACTTCCGACTTCGAGCTCTGGGTTTTCAGTGGTCTCGAATTCGGATAAGTTGGTTCCCATATACTTCAGCTACGAGTACGAGAGTTCTGCATAAGTCGTGCTGCTTTGCCGAACTGCCGAAACCAGACAAAGCGCAAGCGCCTCTCACGACACTACTCAATGACCCTACACTCCTACACTCTATACCTGACTAGCTCCAGAATCCAGGACCGAACCCAGCCTTGTCGACTGCAACGAGGCGGATCTCATTTGTTGGACATTCGCGGCAAGCCGCACCATCGTCGTCTGCCAAGGATTGATGGCTCTCTCCACGCTGACAGAGGAGCTGAGCCAGCTGCATCTTCGCGACAGCCAATGCGCAGCCGGGCTCTTGGCGGCAGTCTACTCTGCCAAGCGTGACTATCGCATTAGCTCCGGCGGCAACGCTCGAAGATGCTGGGGGTAGACTTGAGCTGGATTGAAGCGTCATGCTTCGGATGGTTGCCTCGCCAGATTCGAGCTGCAGGAACCCTGAAGTTGGTGCGTGGCACTGGCTGCAGTTGATCTGCTGCGCCACCAGCTTTCTTTGGGCGTAAATGGCGCCACCCGTACCTTTGGCTGTACAACCCCTCAAAGAGAGAGGAGCATGGAACTCGGCGCCATCCTTCATGTAGAAGCAGCCGCCGTGGCTCATGGCTGAGCAGGTGGACATCCGAAGTTGCTGGGCCTCTCCGCACAGTGTCATGCGCAGGTTGATTCAACCATCCCTGATAAACCCGATCAGTATCCTCAGTCTTCCACCCTTTAGTGAACGTTAGGAGGCGAGGCAAAAGACGGCGAACAGAGGCTTCCAGCATCAAGTCTTTCTACTTCCTGCCTTGTTGTTGATCCAGTCTGCGAAGACACATCCACCTTTATCTGCGAGGGAGTCGCGGATGATCAACATGGCCGTATCTTCAATCGTGATGTTGCCACTCGAGAAAATGCCACCTCGCCGCAGCAGGGCTCCCACGGCATGCGTCAGCTATAGCGGCGTGGACATGCCAGCTTCGCCCTCAAGTCCTTTAACAGAACCCTAAACCCTAAACCCTAAACCCTCAACCAAATTGCAGCGACAGGCCCTGGCCCTGGCCTCTCGCAAAAACCCTCCTCTCCTCTCGACTGGCTCAAACGGACAGCACCTTCAAAGCGTCCGCACCCTAAACCCGAGCCCGGTGCCTCCTTCGCGCGTGGCTGTGCAGCCCTGAAGGCTCACGGTGCTGTTGGACTGCTCGAAAG